AACATAATCTAAACAAAAAATGTTATGAAAATATATGGTGTCAACAAAAGTGTATCATCAAAGGAAAATGGATCATGTCTTTTGTTTGTACACCCTAAAAAAGAAAGCCTGCCGTCACAATGCTTATAAATGTTATAGTAAGAACTGTCTGAGATGCAGAAAGACAGTTCCTGCCACCATAATTAAGCACAAAACTTTGAATGGAAAGATAAAAAAACATTTAAAAAGTTCATTCAAATCCAAAATTCAGATCACTGAACTCAGTCCTAGGAATATCTTTCGTTTGGTTTTCAAAACATTTTGTCACACTAGCAAAAGGAAAAAAAGGTATTGAGAAGATGTTTTCCTTCTTTCCAAAATGACTTTTAGTGAGGTCAGTTGGTTTAAGCTTATACAAAATGTTCCAAGGGATTGCATGTAGACTCTCAAAAATAGGTCATTATTTATAAGAACAACATAAATACTATCTTTAACCCTTATTCTGGTATTCAAGGTTTTCCATTGAATGTAGTCATCTCCCATACACTCATCTAACTTTATATCTTGATCTTTAATACTTACTATTCCTTCAAATTGTCCTCCCACACAACAAACATCCACTATCTCTTCTCCATCAATCTATTTTACCACCTTCAAAATCAGCCCAATTACTTTTCCCAGGGGCCTCACTTCCTAATTATACCCACCATGTCAGTCTGTTTCTCACTTCCTCCAGACCTGTTTAGTACAGCCTGTGCCACACTCTCTTATACCCACTTGTTTCTCTCTCTCTTCTATCTCACTTTTCCACACTGCAAACTTGCAAAGCATCTCTTAGGGTGCTGTACACAGAGAAAAACCTGATGCATAAACAAATGCTTTGAATGATGAATTCAGGTTTTCTCTAGTCTGCTGGATATATAATAATTAGCAGGGTCCCAAATTTATCTTTACCACTAAGAAAAAGTACACCTACTATATTGTATCAAATTTATTTATTCAAAGAAGATGCAGAAATTCATCAATCTACTAAAATCCTGGTTGTCTTACATACAAATTAATACATCATCTGTGACACACGCAAGTGGAAGAGGCACTATCCCGTGAATGTCTCTGGGTGCCCCGCACTCTGCATACACAGCCTTAACAGAGTGCAAAAACACTCATCACTAATGACAATGTGTAAGGACCTGGAAGCCAGTTTTCCCCTAGTTCCCAGAGGTAAAGCCTCACTATGGCCCAGAGCTCTTGATTTCCAGCCCAGTGATTTTTCTCACTCAGCTATTAATTATTAAGTAACATGATTTAGGGTCTCCAGGTGGTGTTATGGGTCAGTAAATCACAAGAACCTTCTTTACTAGACTGTCTTTCATCAGCTTCCACAATCAAGTCCCCCATAATATTGACTTACCTATTAAAAAGAAATTTGCTTTAAAAGTTTTGAGGAAGATGGTCATGTACACTTTGAACCATGTCCAAATTTTCTGCCGAGTTAGGGGAACAAAATCATCTAGAGACAGATCTTATGAAACTATATTTACTACATTCTTTAATAATGCCCATACAAAAATATGGTTATTTCTTTATCTTTACAGACTTAACCATATGGTTTATAATATACTTCATAACAAATATTCCTGTTTACTAACTATAGTTATTCTCCACTATTATCTGCCTTCGATTCATAAATAAATAAAACCTCTTTGCAAACCCTAATAATTTTCTCCAGTTGTGCTGCCAGCAAGATGCACGTGCCTCCTACCCAAGGGTTGGGAGCTAGTTGTAGACTCCAGGAAGAGATTTTTACCTGCTGAAGATAAGGAAGAGTGCAAAAGTCTCTGCAGACATCTTTTCTTGAGTTGTCAGAATAAGAGAGATTTAAAAGGGAGTGGCAATGCCACATCTAATCTCGTTTCTACACCAAGACATAACACCAAGACATAACACCACAGCAGTGATAGCACCATTTCAGAGGCTCAGGCATAACCAAGGTTTCAAGGCTCCTCACAGTAACTCTAATCTAATACCCTTAAGTTTCTTTCTCCTCCTCTTCAAATATATATCATACACAGACCTACAGTATCTGCTCAGATATTCGAAAGGACATTTATTGCTCGCTCGTCTTCATAGAGGACTCAATCTAATCTAAAAGACAGACAGAAGACATAAGAAAATGAAAGCATTTTTTAAAGTTTAATTCATCAAACAATTTTAAAATAGAAATAATTATGTTTTTGAATCACTACATCAAGGCTTTCACTTCTAGATTTCTCTCTCCTCCTCTCTTTCAAGAACTGTGACCACCCCCTGGTTCCAGGCACACCTTCTGGACTCTGAAATCCTCCTCCCAAATTCTTATGAACTAACCTTCTTCTTTTATATCTGACAACACCTTCTCATTTTTTAGCTGTTAGTTCTCTTTTATTTCACAAAAAAAAGGGTGCACTCAGTGACCACTTGTGCAGTAAAAGCAGTATGCAACCACAATGCTAAAACAAGCATGTTATTAATCATGTACAGAGGCTGTTTCAAGTTTGGCATGTTCTTGTCTTAATTCCAACCCTTTTTCTTGGGCTCAGGGTCCTGCACCATACCCCCTGTTGGGAAAATGGAACAATTTGGTCAGGTTCCCCTTGCCTCAGAGCTGGTTCAGGGTGGTTCCATAAACATTGTGTGTGAATGGAGTAAGTGGGCCTGCAAGGTGGCGCCACTATGGCTGGTTTTTACTGCCTACAGTGCCCGCCCTGCGTGGCCATGTTTTTTCCAGACCTGCAGCTTCCAAGGACCGTGTGGCTGGTTGCCTAGCATATGGACCTGCGTGAAGGGGTCTGGTGACCCAGCCTGGTGTGTGAAGGGTTTGTGACTCAGTCTGTGAATGGACTTGAGGGGTCTGGGAGCTCCAGACCCAGCTCTAGCTCAACCGCTGGCGCAGCTGGTGCAAGATTACCAGCAGGTAAAAGAGCTGTGACAACCAGCGTGGATGCCTAGCTTTACAATTGGCATCACAAACAGGATTAAGAGCTAGACAATTGGCACTGTGAGCAGGATAAGTGACATCGGCCTTTGCCTTAGCCTCGCAGTAGCCCTTGTCGTAGCCAGACACCCCCAATACATCTAAAAGAAAAAACTCTCATATTTTGTAAATTTTTCTCCTATACAAATTTTTATAAGGCTCAATCAGTCTTAATTATCAATAAGATTCCAAACTCTCTTCCTTTCTCCATTAGAGGAACACATCAAAATCTGTCTATAGGGAGAGAGTATAATTGTCTCAAAGCAAAAAGAAAATGCTTATACATTCCAAATAAATCTTGACTTTCTGTTTATTTTTGTTTGTTTCTGGTGGCCGGCCCTTGACCTCAGTGTTAATAGCACCATGCTGTTTATTTTTAACAATCAAGAAAGACGGTCATTGTAAATGTCAGGTTAAAATATGCTGATAAGAGGTTTAAAAACTAACATTTTAACATACTTTTCAAGAAACAAAATACTATATACATCTAAGATTTCTATCAGGTATCTTTCTATGGGCATTTACTATACATCCTAAACTCCAGCTTCTTTCCACCTTCAGAATTGCTTCCTTTTAAGTTCAACAAAAGAAATTAGAAAATAAGAATGTTGCAAAAAAAGGGATAACAAAGACTGGTAAGGAAGCTGAGTATTCTTCCTTAATTTTGATTTTTGTGTATTATTTCCCTGACACGTCAAATAAACAATCCAGTAACTGAGCAAGACAATTATCCTAGAATAAGGGTAAGGTATAATAAGCAAACACATGATAGAGGTATATAAAGTATTAAATAAATATCCCTCCTCAGAATTTTCTGTTAACTAGATTCTACCAATAAGTATGGAATAACTGCACAACATCTTTGTTTAAGGTTGATAATCTGAATGATAAGTAGTTTTATTTTCCCACAAATAAACTGTCCTCTCAATGTCATATGGTGGTTCTTATTTTAACTCTGGTCAATAAATCAAACTGTACTAACTCCACATGTGAAGTTTTCTTGCACAAATGAGAGCTAAGTTTTCACTACCCAAATGATAGCTAGGTTGAACATTTTTGTTGTGTGTGAAATAATATAGGACATTAAAAACTAAGAATAAGGGCCGGCCCGGTGGCGCACTGCGCTAGTGCGCCGCTTGGGAAGCGCGGCAGCGCTCCCGCCGAGGGTTCGGATTCCACATACAGACCGGTTCCCGCTCACTGGCTGAGCGAGGCGCGGGTGCAACACCGAGGGTTGCGATCCTGTTGCCGGTCCCGGTCCGGTACGGGGGCGACACTGAGGGTTGCGATCCGTTGCCGGACACGGAAAAAAGACAAAAAAAAAAAACCAAAAAAAACTAAGAATAAGATAGAATACACTGTCAAATGTAAAAGAGCAAAGATTAGAAGTTTATAAGAATTTTGTAAGAGAATTTGTGGGTCAAGAAGCTATCTTCTTGGAAGGAGGGGGTCACAGACACGGAGAGGAGAAAAAGTTAGAATGAAAAGGTTTGAGGTATTAGCTCAAGAAAGTAACTACCCACAATCTGAAAAATGCTTATTCCTGATCCCCCAAGACCTGCAAAGATATAGCAATGCTCTACGGGAAAAATTTAAAACATTAAAAAACCAGTGAACTGTGAAATAAACTCTTTTGATATTCTTTACAAAAAGCAGAGTTAAGAAAATTCTAATTCTTAGCAGCAGTGGAATGTGCTATAAGCTTAAGATTTATCACTAATTTAAGAGTTTTACTTAAGTAACAATATTTGCTTTTTAACCTGGGAGTGAGACTCTACTAAAGAGCAAAATTGTAAAACAGCTTCATAAAAGCAAATTCAAAGGAAAAAAAACATAATTGGACTAAATTTTCACCTGAAGATAAAAGTTTGTTGTGAGTAACTCAAAAGGAACATGATTCATCAAAAACTAAAGAAAAAGGATGTAATAGATAAATGCTAATTCTTAATTTTATCCATATCAAGAGAGTATAAGCATGAACAGTTCGTATAATAGTATTAGCACATACCTGTTTTAGGATGTATTGAAAAGAATCCTTGTGGATTTCCACTTGTAATTTTGTATATCAGCTTGTCATTAGAGCTAGAATCTGGGTCAAATGCCTCAATCTGGACCACAGATATATCCTTGGGAGAATTTTCCATGACTTCTGGATAATAAACAGGCTCTGATGTCAGTGGTGCATTGTCATTGACATCCTCAACTTCTATGTAGATCTCTATAAATGATGAAAGAGGCACAACACCCCGATCGGTTGCATAGACTGTTAGCCAGTAATGGGAGGTCGACTCACGGTCCAGTCGATCTGAAGTCTCTATGACACCTAGAGAGAAAGAAGAAGAAAACATAAAGTAGCATGTCGAAAACAATGGCAATTGCCACTTTGAGGAAATGTCAACCTAATAATGACTCTGACTTAATGAGGGCTTGTCATTTACCAGTTGTGTGATCTTGAGCAAGTTATCTAACCTTTCTGTGCCTCAGTTTCCTTTCCTAGAAAATGGAGATAACAGAATGCTCTTCATAGGTTGATTAAATTAACTAATAAACATAATGATTAGAGCAATACTTGGTACATAATACAGAATGTGAAAGTACTGGTTATCATTACAATTAGGTGTCAGGCACTATATGGAACACTTTAAAAATACTTGTATTATCTCATTTAAGATTCAAAATAACTCAATGAGATGGGTACTAAGAGATCATCTAACAGCCCAATACCTGATTTTTCCAAAGAAGAAATTTATAACTGGTTGAAATTTGTTGACTTTCCTAGAGGTTAATCAGGAAGCCAGGGACAAAACCAGAGCCATGGCCCAGATCTGAGTCCCCATAGTCTAGTGCTCCATGCTCCCCACATTGTATTCCAGAAGCAACACTCCTCAAGACATCTTATTCTATATATCCCCCCCACTTTTTTTTTTTTTTCAGTGGCTAAGAGACTATATCCATTCAAAGTCCAGAATAAGGGACTACTAAGGCCTTCTGTGTGCTGAAGACCTTCTGCTTCCTTTAATCGCCTTAAGCAAATGGGAAAACAACCAGTGTGCTAAAAAAATATAAATTCTCCAAATACAGTATCAATTCCAAAAGTGCAGAGGCTACATCATTCTCAAATACAAGTACCCCAAGACCTTACACAAAGCACAATAATTGCTTATTAGATGAATGACTATATCCATTCAAAGTCCAGAATAAGGGACTACTAAGGCCTTCTGTGTGCTGAAGACCTTCTGCTTCCTTTAATCGCCTTAAGCAAATGGGAAAACAACCAGTGTGCTAAAAAAATATAAATTCTCCAAATACAGTATCAATTCCAAAAGTGCAGAGGCTACATCATTCTCAAATACAAGTACCCCAAGACCTTACACAAAGCACAATAATTGCTTATTAGATGAATGGATGAAACACATAAGTAGAGGTTGGTACAGAAAAGTTCTCAATTGGGACCTAAAGTAGGACATGTGTCTTATTAAGTTAAACTGGCAAGTGATAGAGTTATATGATCACAAAAAAAGAGGGTTAGAGTATCGATAATATTTTGGCCCAGCCACTGAAACCAGTTAAAATCTTACTTAATCCCAGATTAACCTCTTCTCAGGAAGATTAAAAGTGGAAATACCCATTTCTCTTTGGAAAATCCCACTTTTTTATTCAATGGTGTAATCTTGCCCTTTGGCGTCCAAAACTTATTATTGCATTTTTTTCTCATGAACTGATGACTCTGAACTAATGATACTTTTAGTGTACAACACCATGGTCCAGGTTTGACTTTGGGAAACCTACAACTCTAGAATCACTGAAGTTTCTCATTTGATGCAAAGTACTGTGAGAAAAATAACAAATACCAATGTCATCTATGCTCAGCAATGAAACAGTGTTTATCTCAATCAAAACAAAATCTGTATTTCATATTTTTGATCATTACTTAAATTCACATATTTGCTTGTGTTTAGGTTGTTAATATCAGAAAACTCATTTATTCTGAATGTAAAACAATCACACCTAACACTCCCAAAAGGGCTCACAACTTAAAAATAGAAAAGTAAACTAAATAATAAAATGTGAAATAAATCATCATAAAATGAATCTGTATTGCCATTCAGAAGCATTATAATTTTTTACTATTGCTTCATTAATTCTTACTGAACCCCTGAAAAGGATCTATACTACTACTTCTAGAAGTATAGAATGAATCCTTAGAACTAAATAATAAGAACTAACTGGTTTCTCTTTGCAGCAGACAACTGAGGAAAATCTCAAAGATGTCTCCCTTTTTTCTCAAGTCCAAATATAATCTACACATACTCAACCCATTCACTAAATTAGTACAATTATATCTGCTTGTAGTCTGGAAGAATAATCGTTTCCAGTTTCTCTTATTCATCACGCCCATCAACTGACACAAAGGGAATGGGGAGAAAACAGAAGGTTCTCCCTACGAGGATTACATATTAACAAAATGAGTATACATGTGCTCCTCTTGTGTTCTGCCACTTCATTAAAATAAAACTCATTTGACAGGTGAAATATTACTAGAAAATTTCAAAAGGACAGGTACATGGTGCTTTTATTTACCTCTTTTTTGGTTCTAATCCTCAAACAATCCATTCTGCTAGTCACTTTTTAAAATTGTGCCTCCCTAAATGTGACTTAGAGGCATTTAAAAACCATGATAATTATAGAATCAATTTGCTCAGTGTTTACTATATGCCAGGCACGTAACTATCATTACATGCATTATCTTATATAACTTTTTTTTTTTTTTTTTTTTGACTAGTAAGGGGATCGCAACCCTCGGCACAGGGTGTGGTCTGCACCACACTCAGCCAATGAGCACACTGGCCATCCCTATATAGGATCCGAACCCGTGGCCTTGGTGCTACCAGCACCGTGCTCTCCCGAGTGAGCCACGGGGCTGGCCCATTACCTTATTTAACTTTTATATCCAACCTGCCTACACATGTGATACTATTATCCCCATTTCACTAATGAAAAACACAGATTTGGAAAGATAGGAACTTTCCTAGGGTCGTAGCAAATGACAGAGCTGGAGTTCAGACACCACACATCTCTGATTCAGTGTCAGCAAAATTCCCTGTCAGTCCTATGGCCTTGGTGCTACCAGCACCGTGCTCTCCCGAGTGAGCCACGGGGCTGGCCCATTACCTTATTTAACTTTTATATCCAACCTGCCTACACATGTGATACTATTATCCCCATTTCACTAATGAAAAACACAGATTTGGAAAGATAGGAACTTTCCTAGGGTCGTAGCAAATGACAGAGCTGGAGTTCAGACACCACACATCTCTGATTCAGTGTCAGCAAAATTCCCTGTCAGTCCTATTGTCAGTATGACAAAAGTGGAGTAAACAAAACCTAATGTGATAACTTGGAAAAGACAAGCCAAACTTCATATTTCATCCATTTGTTTTACATGTCAGTATCAAAATGACTGTATTAAATGCTCGTTCATACACAAGAGCTTTCTCCAGTCTCAGGGTGGAAGGAAAAAGAAATATAAAATGGAAATATATTATGAGGTTTACAATCACATACAAAAACAGCTATTTTCCATCACGTCTATGTCTAGCCTGGTGTGTAAGTGTCCAGACTGTAGTGTACAATGATGAGACGGTCTCTGTTCGAAACTGCTCCTCTCCCCCAATCAATTGCGCAACTACGGAAGCAGCCGTATCCATTTTACAATGACCCCACGCCACAGTTAGAAGGGGAATTTTCAGGGGCCGGCCCGGTGGCGCACTGGATAGTGCGCCGCTTGGGAAGCGCGGCGGCGCTCCCGTCCGAGGGTTCGGATCCCACATACAGACCGGTTCCC